GCTGTTATCAACATATATATTTTTTATATTGAAGCTCATACTTTTGAATTTAATACTTACCTTATATTTTTTTCTCATAGGTGGCTTTTAAATTTGTGCTTTTCAATCTGTAATAGAAACTCCTGCTAACTTCAAAAGATACATCCAACTTGAGTTCAGAAAAGAGAGATCCTTTTTAATTATGATACCCTTGCATATGACTCACTTATACCTAGTTCTCAGAAACTCAAACCCACAGAAACTGTAGTTTATGCATTTACAAAAAGGATCACTGACCCCTACAGGTGGGTTATGAAGACTGATTACTAAATTATACTGATACCCTTCACTGTGATTTCAGCCAATGTTTTATTAGCTCTCTTCACTCATTCTTAACAGCAAAGTACATTAAGAAAGAGAGGGACAGTAGTCTGATAAAGTGGGAGTGCTGAGGTTAAAAATGATGTTGGGTATTTATATTTCGAGCTTTCTATTGGCTTTCTTTTATATCCATTTGAAATACTTGGCATTTTGGCTTGTAGGCTCATGTTGATTTGCTTGAAACACATCATAATTATGTTTGCCATTACTTTTCACAAACCTGACCGTAGTAAGCATTCTGTTAAGAGATGTTTCAGAAGAATGGGAGTTTGAGGATTGCTACTTAAGCAAAATTTTGGTGAATTATAACATAAAAAATTGCTTCGGTTCCTCGCTATATTATGCTCCTGCTCCTTTTCTAAATTATTATTTATATGTAAATCAGTATAAAGGCTCTCTTCATCTCTGAAATTCCATGTTTCTATTGTAGACTCCCCATGATTTACAGGTCTCTGCCTTCTGCCCACTTATCCCACAAAAACAAATTCAGCAAAAATAAACAAACTTCTGAGAACCTTAACATTTTAGAATGAGTTTTAAAGAAAAATTCTAAACTGCGAACTTAAGAGTTTTTAACAAAGGCAATAAAAGTCTGTAGGATGCTTTGTCAAATTAATATTTCCCCATAGTTTATCGTTTCATTGTTCTTACACTGACTTGAAGTAAGAATATATATTTCTATTAGTTAGGGGCTTATCAAAAATGGAAATCTCTCTAGCTTTCACATTGGTAAGGTTGGGATGGAATTAACTAATCAACTATAGTATTAATGTAGTAATAGTCTATTGATATACTCTTTATTGTCATAGCTTTAGTTTCACTAAACATTAAGCTAAAATAGTGATAAATAGTTGATATGTAAAAGCTCAAATTATTTAATTCTTGAGGATATGCTGCATTTTCTACACTAGCTTTATATACTTAGGACTGTGTTGGGTTAGGTTTATACTTAATACAAAGTTTCATGAAGTAAAGATTTAATGAGGTTTCTCTATTTTCCCAAACCCACTGGGTACGTGGCCTCTTAGACATGCCTTGTTGAAAATGCTATCCAGGTTTTCTCTTCTTTATTTGAGGAATTCCCTCACAAAGCTAGTATTGTCTAGTTCAGTGACAGGTGCACTCTCTAGTGTTATGGGCTGAATTATGTTCCCCTAAAATTCATAAATTGAAGTCCTAACCCCCACTTACTTGAGAATGTGATTGTATTTGGAGATAAGACCTTTAAGGTAATTAAGTTAAAATGAGACCTAGGGTGCGTCCTAATCTAATCTGACTGGAGTCATTATAAGAAATTAGAACACGCAAAGAGACACTAGGGTGAGCTCTCACAGAAAAAAGACCATGTGAGGACACAGGGAGAAGGCAGCCATCTGCAAACTAAGGACAGAGGTCTCAGGAGAAAACAAACCTGCCAAAACCATGATCTTGGACTTCTAACCTCGAAAACTGAGAAAATAAAATTCTTGTTGTTTAAGCTATCCCGTCTATGATATTTTTTATGGCAGTCCTAGTAAACTAACGCATTGAGAAATAGAAAGATAGATAGGATAAGAAAGGTGGATACTCCAAGCCTTCCATGTATTGGTTAAAAAAGGCTGACCCTAGATTAGATTAATAAAAATACTTTGTTAGCTTTAATGGCAGTGGATACTATTGCATCTTGGCAAAGGGACATAGGGCAATACAAAGTTTGGGGCCATCACACACTCCAGATAGAGACATAAATCAATATGTTTACACTTAAAAATAGTAAGAGTTTTAGGTCAAAAGACAAAAGTGTGTCCAGAGCATTAACACCTTCTAATCCAAATATCAAGAATGTCCCATGCTCCTCGGTCACTTGCGTCATATACAGTTGTCTTCAGAGGGTAGAACAGCATCTTATATCCATACTCAGTGAAGATGGGAGCAGCCAGAATCCACCTTCATTCTGTCATTAACACAGTAGTTAACAAAGATGAGAGTTGTTGGGAAAAGTTCATCCAAAGCTCTCATCAAAGTATACACAGAAACACTTTGGAATCCTTTAATGAGGATTTCTATTTCTATTCAAGTTTCTATTTCTGCTCAAGTTTATTTGGAATATGTGATGTATAAAACATTAGACAAATACTTAATGTACCATTTAATATTGAATGTAGACTAACAGGTTTTCAATTTATAAAATAAATATTGACATAGTCTCAGTCCTTGTATTGCTGTGTGTTATTGCTACTGGGACAGTGCAATACTATACTAATATTATATGGTATAATTTAGTGTCTTCTAAATGTATCTTTCTTTGTCAATGTTTTGCTTATCATTTTACAAATTACAATTCTGTAATGGTGAAGTAATTTATATCCTGAACATAGTGCTAAGATGATGGAGTGGTTTCATTTTTGCTCAGCAATTGATCTTTCAAAATTTTGCATTTTCTGGTATTAATCATGTTTATTGGCCCAATGTTACTATAAAGAATTCTCAATGTTGCAATGTGGTTATTTTCATCATTTATTAAGGTACTCCCTTCCCCCCACCATCCTTATTCATTACAGCATAACAATGTCTTATTGATTTTAATTGGAATTTCAAATTTGTGAATGCTAAATTATGTCAATGCACCAAACCATAAATTACCTCCTTGTTCTTAGGCAGTGACTGTACAACAGCAAACATCTGGATGAAAAGAGAAAAATTGGTGTAATCATAGGAGTACTGCATGTTCTCTATGAACATACCAAACTTCAACATGATCAAGGGAATGATTTCTGGTCCATTAAGGCAGTCTATCAAATTCAACCAAATCTCCTACCTTCTAAGATTCCATGCATGTTAACTGAATGGCTTATAGCAGGATCTGAACACTTAGCTACTTATTTCTTCTCCATTTTATTGGAAAAACTTTGTTCATATAGTCAGGGCCAGGTACCCCTCAAACTTTATGTATACTACTAGAGAATTTGGTTTTTCCTTTTGTGAAATCATCTAGTTGACTGGTCAAGACTTCCAATTTTGGATTAGAGATTAACATTGGCCACAAAAGAGCTTGAAAGAATCCTGAGGAGGAGGTAGATTCTCAGACCTGGGGTAAGAGTGAATGAATGTGTAGAAAGGTTAAAAAATCATCTCAAAGATTCTAGCAGGCAGTTTGCTTAAATAATTTTTAAATCTTGAAGGGAAATACCAATTGGGCTTGAAAACATTTCCTTGCAAAGTGTACAACTCATAAAACTACTTTTGCAAATGTGGTGTTTGAAAGAAAAAGTATGAAAATGCTTGTCCCCTTTGACCCAGAAATCCTACTTCAGGGAATTAATTGATTCTAAGGAAATAATTCAAATGAATGTTTTTATTACAAAGTAATTTACAATAGTGACAAATTTGAAACAAACTGAAAGTCTGATGTTTGATAAATTATAATATATTAACTCAGACGACTTCCATGTAGCCATGATAGCTTTGTAAATATGATACCTGAAGCAACATTGCAGAGTGTTTATTTACAATGTACAAATGGGTATCCATATGAGCAAGGTCTGGCAGGGAATTTAAAGAAGTGAACAGTGCTGAATGTTGGGAATATGAGCATGTTGATTTTTTCCTACTTATTTTTTTAAACCAGTAAATGTACATATTTTACAGAGTGCTCAAGAATCCTAAGGCCTTAACCCCACACAAAACAGGGTCAGAGTTTTTGGCAGCAGATGGGATAGTTTCAACCCAGTGGAGATGCTAATGTCACAGTCCCACCATGGCAATGAGGGAGGAAACACTGACCCCTGAACAAATGAAGCACATCAAGCAAGTAGATAGAGCTGCCCACACAACCATTTTGTTTTCTAAAGTCAGACTATCTGCTATTACAGTGATTAGAATTCAACCTCTCACTCGTCAGTTTAAAGTATTCTCTTTAAAAGAATGCCCTGGAAATCATTCTGTGGTTGCTTCCTATGTGGTTTTAAGCAATGGTTCTGCCCCTAGAGTATGCTAAGTGCCAGATGAAATATCTATGCCACTATGGATTATGGTAATATAGTAGTCTGCACTAAAGCACACTTTACATCACTCTCTAGTGTGGATGATCCAAGTAAAGTACAATTTCCAATTGGAAGCCATGTTTTCATGTTTTATCCAACTTCTGTACAAAAGTCTTCTGTGTATAAATAGATTTGCTTCTTTGACATGAATATGAGAACAAAATAAGTAATAATTCTGTTTCTTACCATGTGTTTTACATGTTACCATGCTCTTAAAAATGAGTGTTTTCTTTTTGAGGGAACAGTAGCTGTTTTTCTTTAAAATGTAGCCTATGCATGTTAGAAGTGTGGAATAAAAGGCAGAGGTGATCAGTTAGTGGTCTTCAACATATGAGTGCTTCCAAAAGCTATTCATTATGATTCCAGGTTTGTTGAGACTACCATTAAAGCAAGAGAGCCAATATTATTAGTGAGAATGCTTTATTTACTCTTCCCAGAGGTAGCTTAAATCCCTAGACTATCAAAAGTTTTTGAAGCCATCATAACAAATGAGTTACCTGTGTTCAATAATAATTTTCTAAGAGGTAGTATTAATGATTACAACCCTAAAAAGAAATTTAGAAAGCCTTCTCATAAAAAGTAATCAAATCACAATCTGTTTATATGAATATTTTTCAGGTGGAAGTGAATCCTCTTGGGATAAGGATAAGATGCAGTCTCCTCTTACTGCTCCTGGACCCCAACCTGGAATTGCTCATGCAGCCCTGGCTAGTCAGCCTGGCCTTGGGGGTGGCCCTACTCTCAATCCACTGCAGCAGAACCACCTGCTAACCAATAGTATGTATACTGTTCTCTCAAAACTGGGTATGTTGAGAAAAATACCATATAAGAGACTGTAGACCTTGGGCTGGCAGGACTTAGTCTATTTTTATTTAATAAGATTTAACATTTTGAATTCAAAAAGGGAGGTATAAAGGGACTCATTTAAACGTGTAGGACTCAGAGGGCAAAGGTAGCTTGGGAGGTCATATAGCAGAGTAAAGGTACATGGGAGACTACGTAGCACAGTTGTTAAGAATGTCAGTTGGGGGCCGGCCTAGTGGCGCACTGCTACAGTGCGCCGCTTGGGAGTGCGGCGGCGCTCCCGCCAAGGGTTCGGATCCCACATACAGACCGGTTCCCGCTCACTGGCTGAGCGAG